TGCGGTGCGCTCTATATTACTATATGGATCAGAAACCTGGCCGCTGCGCGCCGAGGACGTCAAAAGACTTTCAGTGTTTGACCATCGATGTCTTCGGAGCATTGCCCGAATCCGGTGGGAACACCGGATCAGCAATTCTGAAGTACGTCGAATGGTATTCGGGAGAAATAACTCATCCTCGATAGATGAACTGATCACACTGCACAGGTTGCGCTGGCTTGGCCACGTGCTGCGTATGCCAGTCGACCGACTTCCTCGAAGGGCTCTTTTCGCACAACCATGTGAAGGGTGGAAGAGAGCCAGAGGCGGCCAAACAATGACTTGGCAGCGAAGTGTGAAAGCCATTACCAGCAAACTCAGCTGCGCTGGTAGTTGTCGTCTTCCTGGATGGGGACCCCGAGACGGGCCACATCAATTCCTAGAGACATTATCAGACATGGCCCAGTCGCGCCCTCAATGGTGCTCGTGCATCAAAGCTATTGCCTTCAATACATAGCTCCTTTTCCAGCCCCCCACTTGACAGCCCACTGACAATGCTGGATTTATGCACCAAGTTACCAGCTCGCGCGTGCAATGCGCAGCTACCTACCCCCCACTCCAAATCATCGGTGAACGAAACTGCTGCAGCTGCAACCACTGTACGACGAGTACGCGGTTCTTACAGCTGACAATGATGATGATGATGAAATGATGATAAGTGGTAAATTATTCAAAATGGTCAAAACACTTAACAATTGAGTCCGATGATCCTAAAAAATCCTTCCGCGCGTATTATCAGTGCATGTCAAATCAAACTCCTATGCTCTTGTCCCTCATGATCATCACTAACAGTAACACATGCTTGCGCTTGACTGCCATACAACCACTAGGAAAGAGTTTTAGTAAAGAGCAGGAAAAAGAGGAAGGGGAGGAACTTAATGTGAAGGATGGCACCAGGGTAAACACTTATGAGCACTATTGGGACACCATCAGCGGGACTGGAACGGCGTCCATTGCGAACATTTCCCCGACTCAGTGCATAGCGGCAGGCGAACGCTAGATTGGCAGTCAGACAGGGAAATGACAGCATGCGTACCACTGTCCTGCAGGGTTTATAGGCACGTGCAGGCAGGGTCACGTGGGCTTCGGACAGAAGCGCAAATATCCCACAGCACTCAGTTTGACTGTAGCCACTTCCACTTCACTTTGCCGAATCATGACTTGTCCCCCGCGAACCTTTCGTCAACAGCCTGTTGGACCTGAAAACAATGTTTTCTTGGCTGCATGTGTAAAATATGTCCCAACCACCTTAACTTTAATCTGTTACTCTAAAGGTTTAGACTTGTTAGAAAGTGCTCAGATACACACCATTTCGCTGCATACTCGGTGGTTTAGATTGCTTCCGCCCTGTGGATCAGGCCAAGGGCTCGAAAGCGGATACCCTAAACGAGCCGCCGTTTCCGGTCAAAGCAGTCAAAAAGCGCTACTTTCCCGCGTGACGGAATGCCGAAAAAGGAAGGCTGGCTTCTGCAAGGAGAGAGGAAGTGGGTCTGACAGGCAAACTGTTATTGTGTGGCAGAGCTCACGTCAGGGGATAGGTTTCGTCGACCTCACTATAACCTCGCCGGCCAACTAAGGCAAGCTACGATAGTCGTTCTGGTCATACTTCCTATTTTCCACAAGAACGCCGACGTAAACACGAAGTTTAATTTGTGTTTGCGGATCACACCAACTAAATGCGGGTGGACGAATTTCCGATTTCAGCCGTTGAGGTCAAGGTTTGCCACAGTTATTAGCTCCTACGTCTTTACAATATCACATTTATACGGAGGAAAGCAGCAAGTCTAAGATCCACTATTATAATTGATCGGATCTGCATTTTCGCGTGGCTCTCTCTTCGCTTTGGGTGATTTCAGCAAGAGCTAGGAAACTTGCAAGGAGATACTAGCGCATTCTGGAGTCACATCAATGAACGAAAAGAGTTGAACAGCATTGGAAATTTCAATAAGCACGTGATCCAACGTTTTGGCGAGCACCACCATTAGAGAATTGATCACGGACACCTAATGAATTTCCATTTAGGTGATATTGGATATGAGTCATCTGCGTGATCACACGAAGTCACGGTTGCACGTGTAAAAGGGAGTGGGGAAGGGTGCGCAGGTCAATGGGTCACGGAGTAAAATGGATGACGTCAGTCAGTCGGCCAGCACAAGTTCAAAGGTTACATAAGTCCCGACAAATACACTCATTTGCATACCAGTTTAGTTTGCATGGGAGACTCATCTGAAGCCCAACTGAATCTGTCATTCATGATGTTTTTTCCAACTCACTTTTTCAAACTTAATATTATGTGAAATTAAATCGCAACAGGTCCACACATTAGAGTCGTAGAAACGATGGTACCATCACCAGTCAATGATGACGACACCACGAGGAGTCCATAAAACTACCGGGAACCATATGTAACTGGAGAACTCCGCCTCGCTTCTGTGGATTTGTTTTGCAACAGAAGTATCACTGCAACATTAGAAATCGCATTCTCAAGATGAATTGAGAAACGCACTTTGGTTTCAAACTGCTGTGCTGATCCCGCACCCCAACGTACATCTGTTGGATTCCTTGTTTATAGTTACGAATTGTTCCTTTGGAGTGGAAGTGCTTTGAGTCCCATTTTGACTCCATTAGGCTAATCCCTAGAGATTAGCCACAGCTTCAATCTTATTATTCCTTCAATCACCAACCACACGGTTTGCACAGTATTGATCGTACCCGAATGGCGTGCCTCATACCTGTCGGGAGATGCACCATTATTGTTACTAGTATTGTTGTTATTATTATTATCACATGGACACCAACCAATCAGAATCAAATGGCAATCATTCTCACACAAAATGAACAATCTACGCTCAGAACACATCACGCACAACACGCACATTTGTGAAGCAGTGCAGGTCGTTCAGTGGTTGGTAAGTTCAGACGTACTTCGTACAGGTCATGTCTGGTTCCGTCATGGTGAGCTAGTGTCGCTGGATCAGCGAGGCTCACAGGAACACATGAAAAAGATTAGTGCGCTCCCGCCCACTGGCGCATCAATAGCGTCAAATTGATTGGTTAAGCGTATGTGACGCAATCAGCAAACCCAACACAATATGAATTCAGTCGCGGAAATTTTCTGCTGCCACTGATTCGCGTCAATAAAGTTGTGCGCTATGCGAATAGTCCAAAAGGCCAGTCAACCATGTTCTGCATTTCAAAGCGTGAGAGTTACCACGGAGGACAACGACTGGAGTGAACACATTATCAATGAGGACGAACAAGTGCAGACAATTGTCTGGCTGACAATTTGCGGTCAGCTTCAACACAGCCAGAAGCGGGTTCTTTCTCGTCATACATCACAAAGAGCTACTCATCCTTCAAGCAAATTAGATTCGCTGCAAGAGTCAGCGTACTGGAGAGATTAGACCAGTCATCACCATCTAGAGGGCGCCTACAAACTGGATAAATCTGGGTAGGTTACTCTCATTGTGTCTCTAAATAAGAGCCATCCCAAGAGAATCTTTTTAGGGAACAAATTTTGCGATTCGGCTTTTTTGTGAACCCTGAAACCACCATTTCGGTAAGATCCGCTAAAAGACGAATAGGAAGCAAATTACTTACACAGAGTACTAAGCCCGGTACAAACAGAGCAGCCACCATATACGCGAGTGAAAATTATCATCGCTGCCCTTGCTTACATTCTGGTCGCGGCACGAAGCGAAATGAAGAGAGTTCTACTCATCCTCAATTAGCTATTGAGTTGCTGTTGGATGTGCCTGATCCAATTCGTTTGACCTGCTTGGTGAGGATAGGTTAATGTAAGTGAAGGCTTCTCCAGGGAACTGTTTCTCCCTATCGGATAGTAGCGAAATTGTACCTGAGGGAAACAGAAATCTTCGGGGGGACAGTTTTGTTAGCTATCACCGGATTTAGCGTACAGTTAGGAATGAAGAAGTTAACGGGAAAGGATTGGATGAAGGAATATTAGGATATCTGAACTATCAGCAATTGGTGCAAATTGAATACAAACGCATGCAGTCTCGCGTTGCATAGTGTATTTCGCGGAATACTGACAACAGAATGGTCACCTTTGCTTTAAGAATGAATTTATGTGTGAGCTAATAGTTATTAGAACGTGAAGTTTTCATGGCCCTACTTGATTTATCTTTGATGAAACTCTATTCAAAGCCAAATGTAATAGCTTCCGTAGATCAAATGCAGTTTCCTGTGCAAGGATCGAAGAAAAAACAGAGAGCACCGAAGTGTAAACAGAAAAAGTCGAACGGCTGACTTACTGGAGTCCCGTCACTCGATTGGACGGAGCTGGGCGTGCGCATCGACGTGTACTCTGATGCCATTGTGAACTTGGACAACAACTGCTGCTGCTGTTTCTGTTGCGTTTGCTGTTGGTGTTGTTGTTGCTGTTGTTGCATCTGTATCTGTTGTGCCGACTGACCAGTGCTGCTGTTTTGTTGTGTTTGCTGTTGGTGTTGTTGCTGTTGTTGCATCTGTATCTGTTGTGCCGACTGGCCAGTTGTGATGCTACCTCGGTAGCTAATAGGTGCAGGCGGCAGGGATGTACTGGTGGCCGCTGCGGATATGGTTGTTGTTGTGTTTGGGGGTGTGGATACTGGTGTATCTAAAGCACCTAAAGGAAAGGAAATGAATAGGCCGCTAAGGTTTTCCTCAAAGGAAAAGGAGGAATGGATAAGGAAACATGATCAAAAACATCTATGAGAAGACGGAGCACAGTCAGAGTGGAGTGAATGCTACAGACTGCGCAGTTTTGCTCTCTGCTGTTGCCGGTACACACTGTGAAGCTCTTGTGGCGAACAAATGAAATGATTTCAATCCCTATACTAACAGTGAAAGCATCGTATGGATGTACGGTCTGCTGAAGTTTCACACAAACTATCAGTCCTGTATTCTGAGACTACTAATAGTCTTGTTGTTGCTATTCTTGGTGGGCATCCGGAGATCCTATTTCGATGTCGAGAGGCGTCAGAAACAAATTGGGTTCTTGGAACGCCACATTAGCACACCTAATGCTTCATAAATTGGCATCAACCTGTTAACGTAAAACACGACAATATGTAGGCGAGTGTGAAGCCGCCTTCGGAGCTAGGTAACAAGGTGGTGGTTGGAAAACATACCTTCAACATGAAATGTACATAAAACACGGGTTTGTAGGTAACATACCTGCTGTAGAATGACGCTGCCCAGTCGGAAATCCTTTCGACAATCCAATCGTTTGCTGTGCTAAGGCAGCAACCGCAGCGACTGTGGCTTGTGATGCCCTTCCGTTTTTCGGGAAGGACCCGTCGGGGTTAGTTCCACTGGTTGGGGACGCATTACGACCTGACGAAATGCCGTGAGCAATGTTTGCTGATGAGGTTGGTGGGAGTGACGGGAGGGAATAAAATCCTGAGGCGGCGAGAGCAGCAAGCGCTTCGTTGAATCCCACTGAATTAGGGTTCAGTACGCCGAGCGGTGCGTTCGCCAACGATGACACCGAAGTTGGCGGGGTAGATGTCAACGAGACAATCGCGTTCAGATAGGCAGCTGCCGCAGCTGTGTTTGCAAATATCTGTTATGAATTGAAAAGGCACTGAAGTCAAAGAGATAACCGACTAGTTAGTCTTTACGGAGAAGAAGTAACATGAATACCTATGGCGTAATGATATTGGAAAGACGTACGTTTGAGCACCAGCTTTCTGTCTGGCCACAAGTGTTCCGCAGGCGAACAAGAATTTGTTGCAAATTTTGAAGAATATGAAGAAGATTGGCCTGTTTGTGAAATGTGTTATTCGTAAAACGTTCCTGATAAATGAGTGCACACAACTTGCCCGCCATTTCATATAAGAAAGTCTACAAACATCGAGACATGCACTCCGAAGGTTACCTTTCCTATCACATATTTCGATATTACTGTATGCGCTTGCAATTGGGAAAAGAGATGACTGATGTCACTGACTAATTGGATTGGAATTTTACACTTTAAATCCTTATATTATTCGTATGTGTATTTGTCTGACGAGACCATATACCGAAATCATACGGCAACATACGTGTGTCAAATTGTGCTGGAATTATGCAACAGATCGGAAGACAAGATTGGTATGTTGCACGGATACTACTGTGAACGTCATCACAAGATGCAATCCAATCAGGTGACAGCGTGTTCATAACGGGCATCGTTACGAGTTAGAGACGTTATCCACCTAATGCTCGTAGCATTTTGACTAAACAACCCTCTGGCACAACCATAAGAAATATCACTAAATATAGTGGTCAACGAGTCACTTGTCGTTGGTACCGACAAATGTAAGTTTCCTGTGAACGATCCCAAAATGATAAGAACAGATCTGGCATAGAACATACCAAACTCCGGCAAGCAAAGCCGTGAATCGCACAAGGGTACCACTTCTAGCCAAAAGGTCAAACAGCTGGTCCTCTTATGCGAACGGATAAAAGCATCTGTGCTCAACTTCAGTGCAAGCCCAAGATTTCCTAGAAATGATAAATTTTCACGTAACAGATTTGGCAGTGCATTTTAGTGTTAAATCCCCTGAGGAAAGTTAGCAGTCCCCCTCCAAGTGGATAGCTTGCTTATTTTAGTAACCGCGTTTCACTCAGAAATAGGCATTCCATCGAACCACAACTCCAATTGATTTCGTGAGATCACGGAAAGCTAATATGGCGTGCGACTGATTCTAGTAGTTAAGCATGTGCCTTTCCTCCATAATGATCTCGGAGCGACTGGAACTGATTAGAACAGAAATTCATGTCACTATCACAACCAATAAACCAACTGTCATATTCACATCGGGCCACAACTTCGGAGAGACTGAAAAAAGCCGCGTCACGCAGTTATTCACATACGATTAATTTTGTCAAATAGCTTCCGCATTCTAATTGAGGTGACCGTATTCTTACTGTGTGTAGCCCTCCACCATGCACGGCGATATTCCGAGGTTACTGTGTTCCTGCAGTCAGCGTTAACAAGCCAAGTGAATAAAAAAGATTAGTGAGTTGAATCGAACAAACCCCACTAACGGCACTGTTGTCAAGAAAGTGTTTTACGGTAGTCGAATTCTCCACTAGGATGCTACCTCTTACGGCATAGCCAACTTGATTTGACACAAGAAAGTGGTCTCTTTGGAGCTCACTACAAATCGGCGGCTTTGGAGCAGATCTTTCACCAGCCTTGTGATTCGAGATTAAGGTGTCTTCGTGCGTCGGTGGGTCATACATAGTACACCAATTACAACGGCCTATCCAAATATTTCAAGTGAGAACTGGTCAATATTTTGGAGGTACCAAAAAAAACAGGTGACTAAAACATCACCTGGAAACATGAGTTATGCAATTTCATACTTTCTTGGATTGAGGCATGAGGATTCCACGTAAGCAGAAGTGATTTTGGCTTAACAGCCCATCCTTGTTAACATCCGTTTCCTCCACCAATCCAGTTTAACCTTGTGGACCGTCATTAACCAGATCTTGTTGCAAATAAGGTTGGGATACTCAACTGTACTCGTTCGGCTACTGAAACAGAAAGAATCACCGAACCGAACTGACTATCCTATTAATGACTCGGAAAAGACCTTGTGATCACACTCGAACTGTTTCCTGCATTAGTCAGTGTCTAGGTGTCATGTCCTACAGCCAGTTAGGTTTATGGCAATAGCGATAGGGATGTGACAATACAAGTAAAACTGAATTCCGGGACGGGCCCCAATTAACACTTTTTTCAAATCGTGCAAAAGAAACAAGCGACTGACCGAATCTGTTGCGGCGCCTGTGCGCTGCTGAGCAGCAAGCGCTGCAGCTACAGCTGCTACAGCTGCAGCATGATTATTTGCCAACGTCGTGCACGGTAGTGATGCAACTCCCGATGACAAAGCGCTGCTGACCGATACCGGAACTTGGCTGGGCTTTGTCGCAGAGGAATAGACAGCGGCATTTTGAACTCCACGGTGTGGAGACGTTGATTCACGTGTCACAGCGTTCGAATAATGTGCGTGTAGAAGGTGTTGTGCAGGTAAGTTAACACAAGGTCCCATGATGCCAGCCCCGATACCAAACTGTTTGTTCTGCGGCAGGTGTGTTAACGGAGCAGTCTGGATGTGAGCAGGAGTTTGTGCACGGGGTGCATTATTGGACATGGCACCTCGGGTAGCATTACCCAAGCTGGTAGAGTTCAGACCAAACTGAGTGGCTGGCATACCTGCAAGCAAGGCCAGAGTTTCGCTAAGAACAATAGGGAATTTGGTGACCAGAACACATACTGTCGCTGTTTTTCCTTCAAGCTGGATTCTTCACTTCCTAGTTGCTTCCAACGCTGAAATAGCTCGTTTCTACGGGCTGTCAATTCCTTTATCTTCGCTCGAGTAGCCTGGAGCTTTCAAAACGAGTCAACTGTTCTCAAAGATGTGCTTACCTCTCCGCGTGTCTTTTCAAGGTCCTCCGCATCAAACTCAGCCTGCAGCTTACGCTCCTCTCGTTCTCGTCTAAGTTTTTTGAAGTGGTCGTCTTGCGCCTTTTCTATGAAACGAATGGATGCGAAATTGCCAAGTTATTATTACCTTCTAGCTCACGCTTTCGTTTGCTCATAATATAGCGCTTTAGCTTCTGATACATTGCTTGGTTCAACTTGTGGCGCTCAATGTTAACAGTATTGGGCATCTTGTCAGATGATTGCGTGATGTCGTTAAAATCAGATAGAGTGAAGAATCACCGCTATAGGGGACTGAAATTTGTGGAGCGTTAGCTAAGATCGAGGGAATTCGTAAAGTTAAACAATCACGAGGTCACATTGTTGTCAAAAAAGTCAACCGCAAAACATTTACTTGAGTTAGTGAACTCTGAGAATCAACGTAAGTATTCTACACCAGCGACTATTTCCAGCAGAAAAATGGCAGGAGGTATATACAGCTGCAAAAAAACGCCTGCCTCTTCGGTGTCGACTTGCGAGATCGAACCTCTACTTTACATTGTCAGAAATCTACGTCCAAGTACTAGCCGCCGGTCAGGGGATACCTCGATTGCAGGATATGTATCTAGATAACAGTCTGTCCATGAGGCACTTGCAGAACCTCTCATACCGGGCTAGTCAACGGCTAGCCAACATAGCTTCCTCGTCCTCCAATTTGAATACTGGAACGTGCGGCGACCTGTTATATAAAAATGCTAATGCACTTGCAATTCCCGCCAAAAACCGTTGCCTTGAAGCCGCGTTTGTGGGACAAAGATTACAGTCAACGACTCTAGTCTTTCTGCTGTCTAAGCATGGACGCCTTGGCAGTATCCCAGCCAACGTACAACCATGGTACTCACAACCGACAACACTCATGCAACGCCGGGCATCAAGTAGTGCCGTCAACCGACTCGCCATACTTGCTGTATGTATCAGACAAATGCTGATGCCTTTCTTCTCCCTATCACGTGCACTTTCTCCACCCTCCCCCAAACCATTACCAGCTCTCTCATTGTAGACTTATCCCTTAGGACTGACGACTCTATTCTTCTTGTAACGGTTTTGGCCGTAATAACTGTGCGTCCGCTACTCCTGACAGCCTCAGGCATACCGAAGTTCATCTTTACGCCTCGACACCCACTCTGTCTGGCTGCCTTAATGTTCGGACTTTAAAGCAAGCCGAACAAGTTGTGCTTATTCTCACACTGCACTCATTTGACAGTGATATGTACTGTGTATCGAAAACAAGAATCCAGGATGCAACCAAAATGGCTAAGATAATTGCCCCATCACTCTCCACTCGCTTCCGGCTGCGCACCTCTGGCTATCCGTTGGCCACTGCGGCAGGATGTGTGAGGGTTGATATCGTCATGAGTCACAAGGCGGATGGGTCATTGCTTGACTGGATACTCGTTGACAATCACCTCTGTACGGTTCGTCTGGCAATGTCTGTAAAGTTTCACAAGCAGAAAGTTCATCACTATTTGTTTTTTGTGTATGTTTACACCCCAAACGTCTGTTACTATGACACAATCAAAGTCAAGTTGCATGACGCCTTGAATGACGTGTAATGGTGAGCTGAAACCTCAGATATCTGATTGCACGGGTGGCCAGGCTTGGAGCATTTGAAACTAGTTTAAATGGTCCACATGGATTTGATTTGATACATAAATGCAATGGCGAACGACTATGTGTTGATCTCATGATGTTTGTAAGTGCTGTTAACTTCCGAAATGTATCCCAGCAACGTACAACCATGGTACTCACAACCGACAACACTCATGCAACACTGGGCATCAAGTAGTGCCGTCAACCGACTCGCCATACTTGCTGTATGTATCAGACAAATGCTGATGCCTTTCTTCTCCCTATCACGTGCACTTTCTCCACCCTCCCCCAAACCATTACCAGCTCTCTCATTGTAGACTTATCCCTTAGGACTGACGACTCTATTCTTCTTGTAACGGTTTTGGCCGTAATAACTGTGCGTCCGCTACTCCTGACAGCCTCAGGCATACCGAAGTTCATCTTTACGCCTCGACACCCACTCTGTCTGGCTGCCTTAATGTTTGGACTTTAAAGGAAGCCGAACAAGTTGTGCTTACTCTCACACTGCACTCATTTGACAGTGATATGTACTGTGTATCGAAAACAAGAATCCAGGATGCAACCAAAATGGCTAAGATAATTGCCCCATCACTCTCCACTCGCTTCCGGCTGCGCACCTCTGGCTATCCGTTGGCCACTGCGGCAGGATGTGTGAGGGTTGATATCGTCATGAGTCACAAGGCGGATGGGTCATTGCTTGACTGGATACTCGTTGACAATCACCTCTGTACGGTTCGTCTGGCAATGTCTGTAAAGTTTCACAAGCAGAAAGTTCATCACTATTTGTTTTTTGTGTATGTTTACACCCCAAACGTCTGTTACTATGACACAATCAAAGTCAAGTTGCATGACGCCTTGAATGACGTGTAATGGTGAGCTGAAACCTCAGATATCTGATTGCACGGGTGGCCAGGCTTGGAGCATTTGAAACTAGTTTAAATGGTCCACATGGATTTGATTTGATACATAAATGCAATGGCGAACGACTATGTGTTGATCTCATGATGTTTGTAAGTGCTGTTAACTTCCGAAATGGCCGACATATTCTAACCACATGTTCTTTAACAATGTAGCAGCCATAAACCCAAATCGATCACGTCGCTATCAGTGACCGATGGCGCGAATCATTACATGATTGTCCATTGTTTTGGAACACTTGTCGATTCTGACCACGAGCCCGTCTGTAGTCTCTTCTCTCTTCGTTCTCCAGGATCGCGTAAGCTGCGGATAAGTCGCTTAGCAACTGAGGGACTGGCATATATCGAAGTTGGATGAATTTACAAGAATCGTCATCTGGACTTTTTTCCAGCTGCTCCACTGACCTAAAACTGTCACCTTGTCGTGGTGGTCTGGCTTCTGTGCTGCGGTGATTTTGCGGGCTATACAAGCTGGAACTCAATTCTTAAAAGTTCATTCCAGAAAGACCAACGGGGAGTAGCCTGACAAAAAACAGCAAGTCCCCGTACTGCGAGTAATCGTATTAAGATGACCTAAAACACCTTGTCGTGGTGGTCTGGCTTCTGTGCTGCGGTGATTTTGCGGGCTATACAAGCTGGAACTCAATTCTTAAAAGTTCATTCCAGAAAGACCAACGGGGAGTAGCCTGACAAAAAACAGCAAGTCCCCGTACTGCGAGTAATCGTATTAAGAGGCGGTCTGGAAGCAAAGCCGTACTGTCTTCTTCGATAGGTGTGAAGGCAGTAAGATGTTTCCCCAAGGCGACCAGCAAGTCCATATTTATAGAAGAAGCGATGCTACCTTCTCCCAGGAAGGAGGGGTTAGAAAAGTTCGGCTCCAAAAACCGCATACTCCGATCGCCCAAAGGTTGACCAAGACCGCCGGCGCATTATTCAGTACGGTCGAAATACTTTAAGAAACAAAGAGTCCGGTGCAGCTCAAAAGGCACTTGCTGCGCGCAGCCGCATCATAGGTGAGACAGTAATGCCCTATTACCTGAGCCCTCGGGCCAGACCGGCTCCCTACAGCCAAGTAGGTCTGACTATTGAGTTGTTGGCTCCGGTAAGGGCCCCCAGAGAAACTTTAACAACCTTTGTCTCGCAGGCCAGACACTCCAGTCACGGACTAGGGACAGGGTCCACAAACAAAACCTTACATCCTCTCATTGCCTTGTGGATGAGACTTTTGAGTCGAAGGCTCAAGGTTGGGTGCCTCACCTAAACCCCCTTCTTCGGCCTGGGCAACTGGGAAGTATCATTTGCCCTCGAAGCTCTTCGGAGGCCGGCCAACCCATCGTACAATGCAGTGCCATCTAACTATCTGCCGATCCCATAGCCACTGTTCCGTATCTCAACCATCGCCCAGAATAATAAACCAAAATAATCTACTAACCTCAAAATATCTTATCCATATTACAGCCTATAATGTCCGTACTCTATAGGGAACAGACAGCCCTTGTTGAAACCTTAATTTCCCTCTCTATCGATGCATTCTGTATCCCCAAAACACGCATACGAAACCCCACTTCGGTCGTGCTCCTGAAGCCACTTAGGATGAGCCCAGATGTTTCACATTTCACTCTTCGGGCATTCAATGATCCTGACGCAATAGCTCATGGTATCTACGGTGTGGAGGTTGCACTCGGTCCCAAGGCTGAAATCACCTTATTGTACTAAATCCCAGTAAAAAAGCGTCCAACTGTAGCACCCTTTCGGTGCCTAGCTGCCATGTTGCCCAAGCCTAGACAGGGGAAGTCGAGAGGCAGAGGTCGGATTCGAACCACGGACCTTCCGGTCAGTAAATTCGCGCTCTTACCACTTGGGCCATCTCGCCCCCGTTCGTACTGGCCAGGAACAAATGATCTGCACACAACTGAAGAGGCCGCTCTCCGTTATCCGTACGCTCAGCATCGACTCCAAATCGAGTACCTAACTGTGCTTCTTCCGGACTTCGTCGTTCAACTTGGGCATTCATATCACCGACCATTCATACCATCGACTCCAAATCGAATACCTAACTGTGCTTCTTCCGGACTTCGTCGTCCAACCTGGGCATTTATATCACCGACCACGACCACTATATCCATCCTTCTTGCCGACCGAAGCAGTCGTGAGAGGCCTTGATAAAACTCGTCCTTCTCAGCCTCAGAACTGCTATCTGTTGAAGCGTATACTGATACGACAAACAAACACCGTTCACCGCATCGACCTGTGTTAATCTTAATTGAGCCAGGCAACCGCACAGCGCAAAGGCGAACTTCCAAAGCAAACTCACGCACCGAATTACTTGAAGGCCATCTACTACAAAACAATCGTAGACTCAATTGGACTATGTGGCTACCAGTTACCGATGGAGAGCCTCAGTTAAGGAGTGTCGTTCCTTGTGGGGTACGCAACTTGACTCTGATCACGCCATCGTGCGGGCCCACTTTGCACTTTGCTTTCCGCCAGCAATAAGCGTGCCGAAAGAGAGCAGCTCCGTTCACCAAATTCGACAAGATTCAGTTGCTGAGGAGTATCGAGCTGAGCTGGCTAGGAAGCTACGAGAAACGCACATCTATGTAGACGACGAAGATTGCTTGGAGGATGAATGGAGGTGAGTTAAAGAAGCAATGCTGTCAGCTTTCAGAACTGTTTGTCCAATC